AAGGCCCCCTCCGAACCGCGTGCACAACAAATCTCCAAGCACGGGCATGTCACCGTCCGTGAAAAAAAAACCTACTCCAACATTCTAGACTCCCAACCCCCCTTCTCCCCACAAGGCCCCCCCTCCCCAAAGCCACTATCATCTCATGTAAGATAAGCCCGTCCCCGAAGGACGCACAATTGCGCAACCAAACACGTAGCCCCAAAGGTGTAAAGTAAAATAACGAGCAGCCCCAAAAGCAAACCAATGCCGAAAAGCAAAGCCAGGTTCAATTTTAAAAACACGAAAAAGGTGTGTATGTGTCAGCATATGGTAATCAAAGGGCGAGCAGAGTCTCGCAACCAACAGTGATGACGATGACGACGCCTCTGTATGCCGGAGAAAACCGCCAACAAGCTTTATCGCTTTTCTTCTTGCCTACCCTTTCTCTTTTTGCCAAAATACAATTGTGAAGCCAAAAAAGATTGTGAGACGAACGCTTCGAATACAACCGAATTGCACAAGCACGTTCGTACGGGGGGAGGTGTAAAATAATGAACAGGGCAAACATACCCAGCCCCACACACACACAAACACCCGTGCCTACACACAGACAAAGGCCGATCAAACACCTCCCTTCCAATCCCCCCTCAAAAAAAAAGCCCACCCGCTCGCACATAAAATCTCATACACACGGCACTTGCGGGTTCATCGGCCCAACCGGCCCAACGCCCGCGCACCCGCGGGGCCAGCAGCGGGCGTAGACGTACCAAAGCTTTTTCCCTCACCCCCTCCCCAGCACAAAAAAGGCAAAAAAACGTGGCGAGACCGGGGTGTGTGGGGGGGAGGGGAAAGGATGTGGAAAAGAAAAAGCAAAGCAAGAAAGGTAAACTGTTGCAGTGCAGCCGGTGAGATGTAACGGGATTGTGAAACAACAAGGGTGGGAATGGATGGTGGTGGCGGCGGCGACGGCCGTGATGGCCGGACTCCGAGCGTGTGGACTATCCTATCTGGGTAGAGAGAGAGAGAGCGAAAAAAATGAGAGAGACAGAGTAAGTATGTGTAAGAGGTAAAGGTGCGGGGTACGGATGCTGGAAAGGGAAGGAACGAAAGTCGAGGGGGGGGGGGGAAGACATTATAGAAAGATACCGCGGTACATATCGTGGTATTCATCAGGAAAAAAAAAGAATGACGATGAAGAGGGCACTTTACACAGCCTTTTTTTTTCGCTATCTACGCAAAACCCCTCCGTTTCTTGCGTAGGGAGCGAAAAGCTGTGTGTATATCTACACCGGTCCCCGCTTCTCACCTATCATGGCTCTCTATCTCTCTCTCCAACATACAGGAGATATGAGAAATGAGAGAGATATGAGCGAGATAACACCGCGTATCGAGACTAGCACAACATCAAAGATAACCGAGATTTGGATGGGAAATAGAAGCCACGTGATGACCTAGAACAAAATAGACGGACGAAAGAGAAAAAAAACCAAGGATGTAGAAGGAGATTTGACTATTCCCCCCTCCCCCCAGGAAACAAAATGAGGAGCTTATTAAACCAAGGGAAATTTCACGCAACCGCATAGTGAAGGACAAGACAGGGGACACGCAAGGAAAGATGATGAGCAAGTTTCTGATTTTTTTTCATTCTATGCATTGAAGTGTAACTGATTCCAAGTATTAAGCGCAGACAGGCACACATTGATACAACGATGCCTGATAAAAGGCAAAACAGGACACATTTCGACGATGATTGAGGAAAGAACAATGTGTGAAGTGTAAATGTGTGTATAATGTGTCTTTGCAACAACAACAACAACTAAAAAGGCTTTCCCTTTCCCCCAAAAACACCCCCATGACTTTTGTAAGCAAAACGATGCCGCCAAACAGCTAGGATATGTGTTCTTTCCCGCAACCAACAAGAGAAGAAAAAACAGAATGAGCGCTCTGGCAAGATTTGGATGCGACAGGCAAGAAAGACCTAAGAAATGAAAGTGGTAAAACAGGGAAAAATCGAAGATAATCAAACAATGAGACTTTGAAAAAGCAGAAGAGAAAAAAGGGGTACTCATGTTCGTAGTTGTCATGACCAAGCCTAAACAAGCCAATATCCGGTGACAAAGACCACCCGTTTGCTCAAACGGCTGGAAGAGAGAGAGGAAGATAGATAGAAAAATGAAAACAGGATGGGATGCAATGCAGCACTTATGACCCCAACACAGGACAGACTTCGGTCTAGCAAATTAAAACACAAAGTCGGAAGAGAAGATGTAAACAGAAAAAACAAAAAATACAAACAAAGAGGTATCCTTCTAGATCGCTGCGCCTTGACTACGCCGAGATGCTCATTTCACGTGTGTAACGTCGTGATGGGACTGTTGGTGGTGGCGGAAACGGTGCCTACTCAGTAGTGGCTGCCCGCCATCAAGCCATGTTGTGGCGGCGCCATGGTCATGCCTAGGCCGGGACCAGGAATGTCGTTGATTGAGTGAGACAGGCCAGAGAGGTAATCGTTGCCAGATTCAGGCGACAAATCATCCTCGAGCGACTGGAGGTGGTCATCCTCACCTTCCAGGTCTTCGTCCTGGTAATCGCTCAGCGGCTCGCCGTCAGCGCGGGGCTCGTGTGTGCGACGATGTCTAATAAACTAAATTAGCATTTTGCTTATTTGATTGGATGGTTGCTAGCGAGGAGATAACGTACTGGGCAAGGTTGTCTGAGCGTGAGAAAGCCTTGTTGCACAACGGGCAAACGTATGGTCGTTCTTGAGTGTGGGTACGCACGTGCCTAAGCGCCGGGGGTCAGCGTCTATGCAAAACAACAAAAATAGTGGGGCAAGGAACAACGTGGTGAAACATGAGGGAGAGAAAACAGGAAATTGCGCGCGCTTACCTCTTGAGGTGTTCTAATCTCTTGAAGAGACGGCCACATGTAGGGATCGGGCACGAGTGCGACTTTTGTGGATATGGACCAATCTCCATCATGGTGGCACTTCGGGCGCGCCTGTAGATAGGGCCACCAGCGCCAGCGGTACGAGCGATGGCGCTGTGCTGCAGAGGGCTCTCGAACAGCTCACCGTTGACCAGGTTGTTGAGGTCGTCGTGCTGCAGAGGAGCTGACTGGGGCTCAGGGTCCTCCTCGACAGTGTTGAGCGGAGTTCCTTGACGAGACATGTCAAAGGCTGGCTTGGACTCTGGCATTTGAGGAGGAGCATAGCTTGCGCCGTTTGCACTGTTGGGCGAGTTGTGTGTGCTCTCGTCAACCTCAGCTAGGGGAACAACTGAGCTTGACATTGACCGCCTCAAGTCACTGGGGCGGTGGACTTGATGGGCACCGGCACCAGAGGCAGTGACGGCAGCAGCAATGCCAGCAGACAGGGAAGAGCGCCTTCTCCGTTGCTTGTAGGTAGGCGAGCCCTCGATGACCGAGTAGACGTTGCCAGGAGCAAACGGCCTTGAAACACCGGGATAACCAGGGCCCATCAGGTTCGATGGGGGAAGGTTCATCAGTGGGTTGAAGGTGTTGGGAGCTGGAAGGTCTGGGATGGCGCTGTAAAGACCAGTGTCCTCGTTCGCAATGTATGCGGGCTCGGCACCAAGGCCAATTTGGTGTTGAGGAGGGGTCAATGGCTCAAAGGACATGCCGCGAGTGCTGTAATCCTCGTAATGAGAAGAGACAAATGAAGGCGCGGGCGAGTACTCCATGTATGCGGGCATGGAGCTGTGTCGCTGGTGGATCTGCGACAAGGGAATGCCGTTGCGGTCGTACTGGAAAGACTGGCTCATCTCGCGTTGCTCTCTGCTCTTTACAATGTTGTTAGGCATTGAAGGAGGCATCGACATTTGCTGGTGGTAGTGAGCCATTGGGTCCTCGGCGTGCATTGGCTGCTGCATCGAGGGCATCGACTGCTGGACGGGCACCATTGTTGGCGGGGGCATGGATTCCATGCTGCGCATGTCGGGCGATGTGGTGGGGTAGGATGGCTGAACGTTGTTGTTGAAAGAAGAAGAGTTTGTTTGTTGAGCCTTGGTGAGCTGCTCGAAAAGCGACTGTGATGAATCGAACTCAAAGGAAAGGGCGGGCTCGCTGACGGCCATGGTGGTGGCCTCTTGGCCCATCTTCTCGCGCTTCAGGTCGCGCTCAAGAGCATCGAGGAAGAGGCGGTCGTGTGGCACGCTGTACCAGTAAAAGACTTTTTGCTTCTTTTGGGTGCGGATGCAGTTGTTCTTGTACAGGAAGTCGAGGAATGCGCTCTTTGGCTCCTCAAGCGAGGCATCTGTGCCGGACTTGAGGTTGCGCAGATCTGAGAAGATGCCCTCTTCGAACTTTTTCGAGTTCTTGACGGGGCGGCCAAAAGCCTGGAATCTGAATGACAGACATCTTACAATGTCGGTGCCAGAAATGTGAAAGAGGTTGTTCCTACAAAGCGCGGCGGGGTTAGAAGGGTGGTGCGGGGTGCAGATGCAGGTGGCGGCAGACTTACCAGAGAACGCACGAGACGTACTCGCCGGTGGGGAGCAGGAAGCGGCGAATGTACTGGTCGGGTTGCCAGTCTACAGGAGCGGAAATGAGAAAGTACTTGACTGTGGTGCAGGTGGCGTGTCAGTTTGTGATGGGCGCAGGCGGGGGGCAAGAGATGCAGCAGTGGGTACACATACGGTTGTCGACCTGCTGCAGGGCAACGACAGAGTCTGGGGGCAGGCTCTGTTGGGCGTCCTGATCGAGTAAGAAGGTCTCGGGTGCGACGGAGCGTGCCTGGGGCGGCGGCATCTGGGCATGGTGGGCGGATGGATACATGGCGGGCTGCAACACCTTTGGGTCTTGTGTTCAGTGGTTTGAGGGAGCCAACGTCAGAGGGTAGGTGCGGAGGAGCAGCACGTGGAATGGGTCGTCGAGGACCTGCCAGGAGTTGAAAACGAAAGAGTGTCAGGCTATGTTTAAAAGGAGTAGACAATAAAACGCGTGAACGTGAGGCGGATAATAAAAACGTGAGGAACCTGCCTCAGATAGCAGTCTCGAGGATGACCACGAAGGGACGGCGTTGGGAGGGGGATGCGAAACGCAAATCTGAGGGGGCAGCGGCAGCTTTAGGTGTCGGAGGGCGAGTGAAACAGGAGCCTAGTCGTCTCACATTGATCTATTTCCGCACGCCAGCCAGCAGGGCGGCCTGTGCAGGTAGCGCGGCCAATTGGGGCTCCGAGGGCCCCGCTCGCGCCCTCCTTGGCGGACAGGGATCGTGGCGACTCGTGGGCCGGGAGGCGTGTGCGCCCTGGCCTGGCCCGCCGATGCCCTCGCATGCCCATGGGAGGCCGTGGCATGCATGCAAAGGGAATGGCATGGCCTCCCACGCCCGCCCATGGGTCGACCTGCTCGATGGATGGATGGATGCACCGGGTGGGGACCTACTGGGACCTGAGCAATGGGTCCTGTTGGATGCTGGATGCTGTCTTGCGTCAGTCCTACCAGTCCTGTGATCATGAACACCCACCCGGATACATGCTACTACGTACGTATACGTACATGGACATACATACATACTGACTTGCCTGTACCCTATACAGGAAAGAGCCCCCTTGCCGTCTCTCGGATGCCGCCTTCCTATACTACAATATCACACTCACTCACATACACTACTAACTAGTACTCACTCTTGCTATCAGCGGGTCTCGTCCATCCATCCATCACCTCCCCCCACTCCCTTTTCTTTGCATAACCGCTCATCACATCTCGCCTTGCTTACTGCGACACGATTATTTTCCTTCTTGCCGCTCCTTGCCGTGGCCGGCACACTCGCCCTATGCCGCCGCCGCGACTATCCTGTACTACTACCACCACCACCACCACCACCACTACTACTACTCATACAACTCGTACTCGCACTCACACTTCGCGCTGCCCACTGCCCACTGCCCACTACACACACCTACTAGTCCCCTTTGCTGCAAGCTAGTCCTCTGATCTGCATGTACCAAACACGCGCCCTCCCTTTCCCCATCCTCGGCATGTGCCAGTCTGCTTGGACCGCCCACTCCAACTGCGGACTACTGCTGCAGGTACATCACACCTGCGCTCTTGCTCAAATCGCCCTCGTCTGTGCGTCACAGGCAGTCGCAGTAGTACGCTACCCAGCCTCGCTGCCACTCGTCCCTCACCACTACCTCGATCCACGGCCGCTTTTCTGTCCCTGCCATGTCGTACCTACATCCGCACCCACCCAACTACACTACACCACACACAGTCAGATGCACACCAACACCACAAATCAACCCTGCGGCCGTGGTTTGATCTTCATCTGAAACACCGCCCTGAGCTCGCCGCGCGGGAGCGCCCATGGCCTTTTTGCAAATCTCTTCATGGCCACGTTGCCCTGTCCAGATGCTCTGCCCTCTACCTATCCCTATGCCCCGTCATCCCCCGTCCATGCACTCAATTGATCAGATTGCCTCGCTGCCTCGATGCACTTGGGCTGTCGTCGTCCATACAAGCCCAGCACACGGTCTGCCACAGCATGCAAGCTCGCTGCTCGGCGTGACGCTTTGCCCGCTCGCCAGTCAAGTGTGGGAGCGGTTTCAGGATTTCTTTTGGGCTAGCCGACATGAGCCGTCGGCAGGTGCGATTGGTCGGGGAACTAGTCACTCGCCTTTGCTCGTCTTTGCTCGCCTCGGCCACATGCCCTGCTGCGTGCAAGCGCTGCCCGCTTTGGGACAACATGGATGCCCGTTGCTCTCGATATTCATGCAATCACTACGCCCTGATGTCACTGGCTGACCGTTCCCATCTGATGCCAGCCGCTGCCCTCTTACTCTGGCTTACCCTGCCTTCCCTTACCCTCCACTCGCCCTCTCCCTCTTCCCCCCCTCCCCCCAAAAAAACGGTGGGGAATTCTGCTACGCAACTAGTAACTCTGCTGCTGTGCGTCCGCCTTCCGCCCGCGTCCGCCCATAGGTGTACTTGTACACACCTAGACCTAGACCTCCCTCCCTCTCTCCCCCAATTCACCCGTCACCAACTACTTGCTGGGATGTTAATAACTCGCCGCCACCCAATCTTGCACACATTCGCAATCACGCCAGACAGCGTCCATGCTTCTTGACCGCCATCACCTCGCCTTGCTTCCCCCCTCCGATACATGGCCGGCTTCCTATATCACACGCCAGTCCATTCAATATTGGCTTTGGGTAGTAAGTAAACATGGGCGCACGTTTCCGCACACGCTTGCGCCCGCCAGTGGGACTTGCAGTGCCGCTGCCGAAAACAATTTCCCGCCCTGCCATCTTTTTCGCAGCTAGTCATGATACACTTGTCGGAGCAACGAGCCATTTCGGCTGGTGTGAGATTTGTACCTGCGTTAGCGGTCCTCGAGGTTGCATTTCTGAAACCTATTGGCCCTTAGGCCGACTGCCGAAACGGGTGACGAGCTGCCGCTCAAAAGCGGGCGGGCTGGCCTCGCTAACACCTCCGTCTTGCAAAATGACATGATGGCAACGTCGCCCCATGATCTTAATGTTTCTTGATATAGCCCGCCAACCACTCAGACGCACGTGGCCCAACTATTCTCCACTGCCTCCATTCGGAGTAGGTCTCCCTCAACCACCACCACCACCACCACCACCACTACCACAAGAGGCCTAGATGCCATGATTCACGTTCTTCTTCTGTGCACACCAAACGCTATATCAAGTCTATCCGCTTTCGGGCCAGACGTTAGCCTTGGGTCAACCGCCATCGTTGGGCGACTGGGTTCACAAACCCAAAGCAGCCCACGGGGCTGGCAACTCTAGCCGTTTGCCAGCCACAATCTGCATTCGTAATTCCCCTTTTCTGTCCCTGCCTTTGCTGCATGTCAACGTGAACGTGAACGTGAACGTGGCCGACCCCATACCTCCCCCCGACCAGTTCACACGAATACGGGTAGATGCGACAAACTGCAGCCCATCCATCACCCCCCTTCCATCGCCGTTGATCTTTGCCCGCCACCGGTTTACGGCAGGCGTGACGAGCAATGCCATTATTCATACACACCCAAGTACATGCGGCCCTGCCAGCGGAGACCCTGTAGCCGATGCTGCGTCGTTTGCGCCCTCTTCGGTCGTCGTTTTCGTCGTCGATCTGCTATCCGTGTATCAGATATTGAGGGTCTGTATCAGACTGCCGCCAGTTTCATCCCCATCACCCACTTGCACAAGAGGTCTGGTCTCTCAAAGCAACGTAATCGTTGTTGCACTCTGCCATCACAAGACTACCCGACGGGTACACTCCCGGGCTGATCTTGAAGATCATCTTCGAGAAATCCGGGGCGTTCCTTTTTGCGTTGATGCTTCGGCCGACGTCGAAACATTACATGTCTTGCATAGCCATTGCTCAAGCGAGCCACGCTCGCCTGTCCAGATCGCGAGTATTGCCCGCTCCAGTAAAAAAACTCGTCTCCTTCTGGAACGTTTCCACGTCCGTCCAGCTGCTGAGTTTGATCTAACGCATTGCAATTGCGCCATCGATGCCGACAACATCATGCTGGTGACTTTTTAAAGTTCCTTAGTGGACTCAATGGTCCACTAACCAAGCCAAGTCACCAACTCGTCGTTAGTCCCTTCTTCATGCGGAAATCATGACACATGGTCGACCCAAACCCTAATTCTAATGCTAAGCGACTGCAACTACTCGTAGCTAGAGGCGGCCTGCGAAAAAGTGCATCGTGCCAGTGCATCGTGTTCCATCAGCCTTAGGGAACAATACTCAGCTTACAAGCTGACCAGAAGCAATGGTGCATCCGTTTCATCTTCGGTCGGGAACAATGGTAGACCACGAGGCTGACTTGCTGTCTCTGAATACCACCGGTGCTACTTGGTCGAGACACTCTTCGGACGGGTCAACACGGTCTTCACATTCCGCGGATCACGATCATGTGGCATTCCAAATACGGACCACCGTGGATTTTCGGACGTGAGTCGGTGGTGCATTTCGTTGCTCGGTATAGCCTGCGAGGATCAGTAGATCCGGTTCTTGCGACACTTGCGGCCAGATGGCTTTAATCGAGGAATAGGGCATATCGCCGGTGAGTCCCTCGAACAGCGATTCAAGCTTTCAATACTCTCAACTCAGGGGCAATGAAAGAGCCGCCCCACCGTAGAACAATAAGGACAGGCACTCGCAGCTATAGAATCGGGCAAACGGCCGAACATGACCGCGAAGACGGTCATTGTCGGAAGGAACATCCGAGAAGAAGTGAAGAGAGCAATTGCAGTGAATAAACTGTCATGAAATCCTCCGAAATTTGTCGTCAGCAGTGGTAATTGTGCACACATGGGTTGCTCATCGCCGCAATGGAGCAACAACCACCCGTCCCCAGGTTATGAAATTGGGGAACATCCGCATACTAGGGGTCTAGGTCCATCCCGATCCTGCGCACCTGATCGACCCTTGTGTCGTTGTGATTCCCTCACGCCCCCAGTCTGGACCCTGCGCAAGTGGACTGGCGTCGTATCGAGCACACGCTCTTCCCCGTGTACAAGGCCTTGGATTTGTGGCTGCTATCGTCTGCATCAAGGTGACCGCGGTGCGGCCGTAGTGCGACTAGGTGCAACCCCCCGTTCATCAATACAACGATTTACTTAACCCTAATCTGCCAACTATTGCTACCGGTGGCAAGCCGACGAATGCATGCAAGAACCACCTATATGTGAATTCCAAATGACTAGGTTCAGTACGTTGACCGGCGTGACACTGATAGGCCGAATCGAGGCTGTACCGTGAACCATTTCAACGGCGGCGGCTGTTCAGCTCCCTTGAGTCCAAACTCCGGCTATGTAATCTTGTGTCTAGCGCATATAATTAAGTTCATCTTGATGGCGGCCTGGCAACACCATGTGAAATCTTGTCAATTTACTGCTGAGCAACCTGCAAGGCCAAGGAGAAGCCGCAAGCATTGGGTCGATTTCCAGAACAAGTCCCAAGAGTCGTAATCATCACCAACGCATGGCTTTGATATACTCCGATAAGTATGTATGTCGCTATCAAATACCTCAGTGTGGAGATGCTTCCGAAAAGGTAGGCACGTACATACGTACATGCAGTATTATGTAGTCCGTTCAACAGCTTCCTGCATGTGGCCACTAGCGCAGCTTGGCATGGCTCCCACAGTAGCTACGAAGCCTCGTGCTGAAGCTCTTTGAAGCGACCACGAACCCGCGAATGCTTCCGCATCCATGATCCCCCTATCTACGGCGAGGGCCATATCACCTTGCCACATCCCTGCAGCTCTCCCACGCACCTCAATTGGACTAGGAAATATTTTCCGGCCCGCACATGGTCGGCCCTCTTTGTACCTGGCTGCCTCACGTGCTTCTGGAACCTGGACTCGCAATGACGTAAAAACATACCAGCACCGCAGAGTGGTGAGAGGCCCAGCCTACGGGCAATGCGGTCAGGGGCATATTGGACTGTTCAGCACATCGACAACGCGGAGACTGGGTATCGAGGACAAGGCAAAGGAACCGTCGGCTTCTCGAAATAATGCAGAGGTAGGTTTGTGCGCGTCCTGACATCATCACCCTGACGGTTGTCACGATACTCCAAGGGCTGAGAATCACATGATTCTGTCAACATGGACTTTTTGGCTTGCAATATCTTCTTCAATTCGAAGCAGCAGTTTCTTTGGTTGTTTTCTATATCACTGTTTGTTGCTTAAACTTCACTCACATCTTATTTATTTTATTTTTGTATTCTGTCCAAGTCAATCAATATTCCATCTCAGCCTACATTCAACTGCACACAGTACTTCAAGTCCATGGAGGGATAATACTAACCAAAAAATAGCAACATGTTCCACCTACTTCAGCATCCGCCAAACTCGCCACCACCATCAAATCTACGCTCAAACTCGACAAGCCTCGCCATGAACAAATCTACAATCTACCCAACATGCTTACTTTCTCCCGCCTCATAGCAACTCCTGCAGTCGGTTACCTCATCATTCACGACCAGCATCTCTATGCCTTCTCTCTCTTCATCTACGCCGCCTTTTCTGACCTTCTTGACGGCTGGATCGCCCGCCGCTGGAACCTACAGACTGTAGTCGGTAGCGTAGTCGACCCCATGGCCGATAAATTCCTCATGACAACACTGGTAACATGTCTCGCCGTAAACGGAAGTCTACCCATGCCACTAGCTTGCATCATCCTCGGAAGAGACGTCAGCCTCGCCATATCTGCCCTCTACTACCGCTACGCCAGCCTCCCAGCGCCCAAAACCATGGCACGCTACTGGGACTTCAGCCTCCCGAGCGCGGAGGTCCACCCTACCACCGTCTCCAAGTTCAACACATTCCTCCAGCTAAGCTTGCTCGGCACTTTGCTTTGCACAAACTTGCTGCACGACCCCTCCGCTACCACCTCCGCGGCGGGTGGCTTGCTCATGTCGATCCAGGACGTTTTGGGCGGCGAACAAGGCGTCAAGACGCTTGTCCAAGGCATATCTGCCATTGTCGCTTCAACCACCATCTATAGTGGATTAGAATACACGTGGTCTAAAAAGGCTGTTGTTATTCTCGGTGGTGACGAGGCGCTAAAGAGGAAACAGGGCTTCCGCGGTAGAATGATTATGGCAGCTGGCTTTGGCTCGTTCATCTCCCTTGCTGCGTATTTTTGGGTCAATCGCAAGGCTGAAGAGGAAATCAAGGAAAAAGCGAAGAAGAAGTTGGTAAGTTACTAGAAATGGAATGGAATGGTAAAAGCAATGATGAGAATGGGGAGGGATCTCGATGAACTTTTTTTTCTTTTTTTTTTGCTCTCCCCGGGGAGTGGTTAAACGAAAAGTTGAAAATGTTAAAAGTGTTGTGTAGTTGTATATTTAGAATCGCACAGAGTCGATTCTTCCAAGTAGTGATACAAAACAATTCTAAACTAAATAAAATCCATCATTACAAAAGAAGAAAAAAGTAATCATATACACCTGATTAATCATCCCTCTCTTTTTATCTCTGAAAAGTTCAATCGCCATTTTTTTGTTTCCTTGTCGAAAATTCACTTTTACACACACACACACACACACCATATCTCTGTTTCTCCTTGTTTTTTTTTCCATCAAGCCCCCCCAAACAAGAAAATAACGGTCGCTCACACACCCACACCCTCTTCCCTCCCCCCTAGCAACTAACTCAGCCACACACACCTTCTTTTCTTTCCTTTCCCTTCCCATCCACATAACCCCAAACCTCACCCCCCCCACACACATACAAATCCCTCTTCTTCCTCGCTAATCATTTTCCTCTTTCCAAGATTGCTTTCTTATGGTTTACTTGTGCAGGTAGCGTAACTTTGTTTTATTCCGAGAAGGGGAAAGTTGGCGGGAGGGTTTGTGTAACGGGGTAAGCGAGGAGAGAGAGAGAGAGAGGGGGGGGGGGTGTGGGGGGCTTGGAATGGTAAAGTTTGGATTGCCATGGTTTGTGTACTTTTTTCTTTAGTGTCGAATTGGAAGGGAAGGTAAAAAGAGGGGGGGGGTTGGAGAGATATTTGGATCTTGGATTTGGGATGGAAATGAATTCACGACAAGGATGTTGTAGCGGGTATTGCAAAAATGTTTATTTCTGCTATGGGGGAGATGTACAGAATACATGGGATACAAATATATGAATATCTATACACGTACAAAATCACCTTTTTTTTGTTACACAACACCACATTTCAAGCCTTCTTCCTCGCCTCCCACGTCCCCACAGCCTTCTCAAAAAGCTCTTTACATGGGACCTGCGAACCCAGCCTTGCACACAACAAAAACGCACCACTAAGCTTTCTATGCAGACTATACGTCTCCTCGGGTGGAGGCGCCAATCTCTCCTTCACCATAACGGGAATCAAACCACGCACCCGATCCGTAATGGTTTGATCTCTAAAGTCATAGACCGCAGGACCGGATGTACTAAATGGCTCAGCGAGGGTAAGTACGCTCTGGATGTGCGCATCGAGCATGGCGGGACTCTCGTCTCCGGTTAGGTAACCCAATTGGAGTGAGAAATCGCGGATTGCATCTCTATCACCCTTGGAGGCAGCGATAAGGACTTGAATGTAAGGTTCGACAAATTCATCTGGATAATCTCTGCTTGCACCAAAGTCTAGAAGTTCGATTTTGTTTGCTTTGGGGTTATACAGGAAGTTTGTCCAATTGGGGTCTGTTTGCATGAATTTAAATTCTACGATTTCGCGGAGGCAGAGACGCAGGATCTGGGTGCCGATCCAGTCGCGCTGGTCTTGGGTGAGGGTTTTGAGTTTGGTGACGCCTACGCCTTGCATGAACTCGGCAGTGAGGACTGTAGGACCGCTGGCTTCAGTGAAGACTTTGGGAACGGTAAAGACGTCTGTGTCGTCTTGGAGAAATTCACGGAAGCGGGTTTGGCATTCTGCTTCGCGTGTGTAGTCACATTCCCAGCCTAGCTCTGTGCGTGCGTTTGCAATGGTCTTGTCAAGATAGAGTCCTTTGGGTAGGAGACGGGATGCTGTTAGGAGAATGGAGAGGTTGCTAAGGTCCGAGTCGATAGAGTTGGCAACGCCAGGGTATTGCACCTTGACAGCTACCGTCTGCCCCGTAGACTTGAGTACTGCTTTATGCACTTGGCCAATCGAAGCTGCCGCTATAGGAACGTCTTCAAATGAATCAAAAAGGTCCCGCCAGTTATGGCCAAGGTTGCTGCTCAAGACCTTGTTTCTTTGCGAGGCTGGCATATAGTCGGCACTATCTTGAACTCTCTGCAGTACATCGTGAATCGCAGGTGGAAGCATCTTGATGTCCTGGAAGCTGATCATCTGACCAAGCTTAAGGGCAGCACCTCGCATGCGTGACAATTTCGCTACCAGAATCTCCAGGTTTCGTTCACTTAACATGAGGGAGCCGGTGGTCGATGCAGCACTACCAGTTGCACGTCGAAGACCTTCGCCCACAGCTCCGAGAGCCATGCTAGTGCCCAAACCGGCATATTGCCATATACGGCCAAACCGTGATGACGGGACTCTTGATTCTCGTAGCGTGTATGCTGTCTTCTCTGAAGTTGCTGCTATCTCGCTGGTTGACTACGGTACGACTGTCAGTAAATCAGCATACTTCAGGCCAATGAGTAGGTTTGATATACCTCGGATGCAGCTGCATTTGCCTGAGCATCTTGAGCAAGTTGAGACGAAAGCTGTTCCATCTCTTTGGAGGTGGTCTCTGACTGCGGTGCCTGAGACAGTTTCGGTTGTGACGCTGGTGAAGTTGGCCTCTGTGCTGGTGTCAAAGGCCGATCATCAAGCGGATGTCTACCCATGGGTCGATCATCAAGCGGGTGCCTGCCCACCGGTCGATCATCAAGTGGATGCCTGCCATTGCTCTTCCGCTCTGCATACTCTTTCCGCGAAAAAGGGTCGCTTCCAAGCATCCTCGCGACGCGCTTGGAATGAAACACATCCGTATTTATGCCTTCTGGTATATCGTCCTCGACTTGTCCAGGCGTGGCGGTCTTTTGAAATTTGTCGGTTGGTGTAGAATCACCCCTCGGGTTTCCAGGCAATGGTATAGTAGTATCTGTAGACTCCACCGGCTTCAGATCCTCGTCCCTTTTCTTGGCCTGCTCACTCTGGTCTTGTGCTAAAGGATCCTTTGATGTCTCAGGCACCGGTCTTTCCGAGAAAACATCCTTTCCCTTATCCTCCTGCTCCAGGGTCAATCCATTGCTTGGGATGGTGCCATCGGGCAGCGGTGACCTGGGTGCTTCCCGTTGCTCCACTTCCAATTCCTCTGTAGGCGGTGGTGTGTTGACTGTGTTCTGTGTGGAGCGATCGTAGTGATGGTCCTGTTCCACACCCTCTTTAACGCTTCCTGCTGGCGCCTGGTCCTTGTTGACTGTCTCCCTTCTCGGAATGTCCTCAGAATGCGATGGCTGCGACTTCCATGTCTGCTGTGTCCATTGTCCGCCTGTCGCTCGATCGGCCGCGGCTTTTGCGTACGACGGTGCTTCCTCGCTGAAGCGTTGAGAGAGGGCGATGGCAGCGGCTGCCGTGAGAGTAACGCGGTCGGTCTGATTCTTGACTGCTTTGGCTAGCGACGATGTCTTTGTGTAGGCATCCCACTGGTTCGATCGAAGTGCAATGTGCTGCTGGGCGACGCCTCTCGAGGCATTGAAAAGCTTGGCGGCGTCGACGAGCCGTCTTCCTGCCATTTCGATCCGATGCAGATGGGCTACCGGCTTGCAATCTGCATGGCTTTGATGCACTTGGGCAGCCTGTGAATGGCAATGGTAATGGCAATGGTAGTGTTTGTGGATAGGTTCATAGTAGACGGCACTTTAGCTATGCGCGTCATAGCTGCCACAAGCGATGTTTCCCCGGGGCGCAAATTGCGCGATTGGCTGGCTTTGGCTGGCTTTGGCCTGAGTTAGCGACGAGCGTGCCTCGTCGATCAACCCTAGTGGGGCGAGACAAGCTGGCCCCCTTCGTGTTCACCAAGGGCCTCTCCCACAACCCACAAGCAGAACTGCACTCCTCGCTGAGCTTATTTGGAAGGAACAGAGCATGCGCTTATCAGTATCATCTGTCTAGGTCATCTGACACTCTAGACTGCCAAGCAAGCGAGCGTATTACTCATGTACATGCCATCGGTATCTGGACAATTGCTACCCGCTGCCTTTGTGTACACGGATTGGTTCTTCAACAATTGACCAAGGCCTTCCTAGGCCGACCAATACATCGCTTTAGACGGCTAGTGAATCAAACACCCTCTGCTTAGGGTGTGTCTAAGACGCCCTCGCCACCTGCTGTCATATCCCGCCCCTTCACCTCTCAGCAACACGTTACCAAACCTCGCTCGAAGCAGAACAACACCAACGGAACCGGAAATATGAAAGTTGCGTGTCTTCAGTTCGCCCCGGAGGTAGGCAAATTGCAAGACAATATCCAGCGCGCCGACGGCATATTAAAAGCCACCCAAATACCTGCCGACTTGGCCTGGCTTATCCTCCCGGAACTTGCCTTCTCCGGCTACAACTTCCATTCGCTCGAGGAGATTAAGCCCTTCCTGGAGCCCACAACCGCAGGCATATCCACCCAATGGGCCCAACAGACCGCAAAGCACTACAACTGCCATGTTACGGTCGGATACCCGGAAATCACAGTACCCTCTAGAAACCCGGCGGATGTGCAGACGCAATACAACTCGATAGTAACCGTGTCGCCATCTGGAGAGGTAATAAACAACTACCGCAAGTCCTTCCTCTACTACACAGACGAAACATGGGCGTCCGAGGGCCCAGGCTCAAAATCCCATAACCTCTCCAATCCTGCATCCCCAGACTCGCCCTTCTTCGCCGGTGAGCTGGGAGAGCTGGGAAATGTCACACTGGGCATATGTATGGATATCAATCCTTACAAGTTCATTGCTCCGTGGACAGACTACGAATTCGCTTCAAAGGCATTGTCTTTCCAGTCGCCCATCATCTGCGTCTCAATGGCTTGGCTGTGTCATCTCTCACCGACTGAACTCGCAACGGACCCATCACAACCGGATGTAGCGACTGTGGCATATTGGGTTGAAAGATTCCAGCCCCTTGTTGAGGATAAAGCCGGCAGGCCAGTGTGCGTCATTCTGGCCAATCGATGTGGAATGGAGAAGGGGCTTTGCTATGCGGGAAGCAGTACCGTCTTGCGTATCGATAAGGGCGTAGTCAGCCTCTACAATACGGCGGGAAAGAGCGAGGAGACCTGTTTGGTCGTGGATCTGGCGGATCGTCCCAAGTTTCAGGTGAGAAGTGGGCGGTAATGGGTATAGAAAGCAGCTGGTGTCTGGTTCTCGTGGCGTGGCTTCATGTGGCGGTACTTGGCTTCAGCCAAGTCCAGCCAAGCCAGATGCGCTCTTGAGTAAACTGTATATACAGGTGTCCATGAGGTAGTTTAGCTTGTGGATTAGCAACCCAGATGTAGAAGGTCAACTTGTTTCGGGATGTTGTAGAAGTAATGGTTGGGGTGGGAAAGCCCGCGAAGTTTTATGTTCACAAGTGCGTCACAAGTGTCGTTGGTCTACATGACTAATGCAGTACATAATGCTAATCATTTGAACTTTGCAGTATCGTCGCCATCCGAATGGCCACATCATGCTTGTTGGGATCCGAGTGGGTTGCTTTCTCGGTTCACGCGTTCTGGAGTACAATGCCACGAGAGCGGCTCTGGATATTAATCCCACGACATGATAACTGCGAGCGGCTTGCATCACACAATCAAAACATCATTCGTTGTTCATTGCGACCCAGCAAGTGGTTTCATTCATCACTGCCTAGTCTAACCATCATGAATCGATTCCTTTCATGCCCATTTACAGACCCAAAGCGCCGTGAATCAGAGGTAGGGAGGTATCCGGTAACGTGAAAAGAGTACCGCCCACTGCATCCCTCGTGTTGCAGATGTACTTCGCTTAGAAGACTGGTCGCTCGGTTCCCGCCATGTGCGAAATTCCCAATATGATCGCTCGTTTCGTACAGTCCTTGTCGTCGTCGAAAGAGGTGGCTGGGAATCGGAAATCGAGTGAGGGATGGCTTGAAGGGGGCGATCCGCTTAGATACCGAGACGGGTCTTGCGCCAGTGTCGTCGCTTGGCGTTGTACCTTGGGGGTGCAATGTCAGTCCGAGTTCTCACGGTCATGACCAGTCTGTCTTGTGGCATTGCATGCAGTTCTGAGAGACACAAGAGTCCCCGAGAATGCTGCGAGTAAGTCATACCTGATGGTGTTGCCGGTCCTCAGGCGAATCCACTGAGGGATGGGGCGGTTCTGCTTCTGCGCTTTGGCAAGCTTCTGCTTGGTGCGGAATGACTTTTGGCTCTGCAAAAATCGTCAATAGGCGTTCCTACATGGCGGCATGACCGTAGGAGATGATATCATACCGGCATCTTGACTGCTTGTTGTGAGTAGTCGGATGTCGAAGAAGTTGTCGTTGTCGTGGAAAAGCGAATTTCAGGCTGTTAGCCGAGCTCCATGGTGCGCTGCCAAGCAGTCAGAAGTGCTAGACCGCATTGGGAGCTTTGGTGGTGCTAGTGCGGATGCCCCAAGCCCCCACCTCAACCTTCTTACACTCCTACACGGCATTGCGTTGTGCACTGCACATGTCCTCGGTTTAGAAATGTAGCGTCACGACGTCGTGATGCCTCATGGCGTGTCTGTGCGTAGAACCATCCCTTTCGCTCACGATCGCTATGTTTCTTCACAAGCAGTCGAGCGGATTGTCTAACTACGGAACAGGACGAATGAAATGACTTGTATACCATCAACAATCTTCCCCTTTTCTTGTATAATCGGAGTGTGCATAATCTGAGAATCGTAGCCATAGCAAGGTTCACCTCTCTGTTCGACAACTCACATTCAATATCACGAAAACCTCTACTGGTTCACAGCATGCGAATAAGATTCATCTCCAAAAAAAAAAGAAGACCATCTCGACCGATTCCATCATATACCGTCAACAACGAAAAATTCTCACCTCGATGCCATATCCTATCCTGAGATCGGCCAGCTCATTAAATAGTCTCATTGCCAAGCTTTTTAAAAGGCTCGCTTAACAAGAAGCATACTTTTGTGACAGCTTATAACATATAACTTTATGTATCTATCATCGCATGTAAACAACATGTCTTAACGAGTCAGGCTTTCAAATGGACTGAGCAGTCCGGCTGGGCATCCATTGAGCCATCGGCCAATAATTTGCCACAATCGTTTGAGGCGATATGGACATGGAATTGGTAATTGGTGGGTCTGGAACGGCTGTTCTGTATTATGAGGGATCGGTGGGGGAGTATGGGACAGAGGTGAGCGGACTCAGGACACGGAGAAGAGAATCGGGGAATAAGAACAGGGAAAGGTAGGTATGGCGCACATTGCCTGTCATCTCAAGACCCTGTTTCATATAGCGCCTGCACTATGCCTGGCCAAGGTGGTTGGGGGGGGAGCGTGAAACCTCGAAGGTGCGGACTTCAGGGTATGCAGCTGTACATTAGTCCGGTCAGAGTGGACCTGGCGTATAGCGACCGAGCAGAGCCGTGTCCACCAACCTATAACGCCAAGAAGCATAGGTGAGATTTTTTGTTCGCGAGCAGCCAGACGGGCTTGCGTGAAACACATGCGACGAATCTTTTGTCAGAAACCAATGGCGATCTCGGCTGGTACACCCCAGATTCAGCAGCGCGAGCTCTGGCCACAGCTAAAGTGGGCGCATCTGCAGGAGTTAGCGGAGCGAGGCCATGGCGATCCCGCCCTGGATGAAAGACCCTCTTGTTTCGGCGAACCTCCTCGTCGCATTCTGCCGCGTCCACGGCCGTATTGCGGTTCCCGGTGCCCTCTGCACCTCAGGCCTGAACGATTCCGCTGCAACATCACTTCGCCTGCATATCGCTCTGCATCTGCGCCGTGGTGGACTAATCCGCGCATTTTCCTACATATTACTGCCATCCAGCGTCTCCGCTGATCCCAATCATCCTCGCAGTTGCCCTGCGCCAGTGCGATAACCACCTCCACCTCACCCCCACGCCTGTCTTGCTTCTGCCGCGTTGACGCGCACAAATCTCATCTCAAGACATTGGGCATTTCTTCCATCCAAACTGAACCCAAATCGTCGCGTCTGCGCACTTTCTTCATCCCCATTGCCGCCATGACTGACTATCCTTCCACACCACCGCCCCCGTCGCCCTCCACGGCGACAATCCCTCGCACGTCAAGTGTGCCCCGTCTTACCAACTCGAAGCTCTTCTCTCCCCAGAATGAGGCCTCTGCCATTACTACGCGCGGTCACCACCTGCCCTCGCTACTACACAGCTCGCGCCGGCCGTCAACCATACGCAGCAACGAGCGTCGCGGCAGCGACACAGAGGACGAGGATATGGAAGCATACAGACATGGACTTATGATGGCGTATGACCGCGATTCGGACCGGAGGAGTAGCATCGGTGCACACATTCTCAACACACCCCAGATGCGAAGCCAACGGTTAATTGGAAACTCCAATCCCCGGTACAAGTGGGAAAAATACTACAAGCATGAAGAAGACCTCAAGGGCATGAAGAAGCCGATCCGCGAATACTACGAGCGCAACAACCAGCTTATCCAAAACTACATGTACATTGACCGTCTTCTCGACTCCTCGCTACCGCACAACCTCATTCAGGAGTACACAAACCTGGAATC